AAAGCGGTTTTAGACCAGCTAGAGAACAGCGATAGTAAATCAGAACCACTTACAGAATTGAGTGATAATGATTTGTGGGGAAATTTTCCTAAAAATTACAGCCTACAATAAAAAACTATTTCCATGCGAAAAAATGGTACCGCTTTCAGCACAAAAAATCGGAAGGAATCATACCGCCAGGGAGGTTAATGGAAAAAAAAAAAGTTAAGCAAAAAAAATTATTTTTTTTTATTGCAAAAAAAAGTTACACCCATGCACATAAAATTAAATGGATGACCCATAGGGGCTTTTGAAGCATCGCCTATAGAAAATATAGAGGAGTAAAGTTTACCATTTCATGGGTGCACACAAATTTAAGGTTTGAAAGGTTGGGTATTTATTTACTTGGTGTAACCTTGTCTTTTATATTTTACAAAAAAATTTGGTAATTTATTGCATTTGTTTGCCCTAAAATTTACTTTTGTGTCTTTTTCTCTAACTAAAAAATTTGCGGTAATATCGCATGACATAGAAAATTGGAGCTATCACTTTTTTATTAAATAACAATGAAAACTCTGCGCAACAGGCAAAACCAATTGAAAACAAAAATAAGGAAACACGGATGGATGTGATTATGACTGCTGCAGTCTTCAAAATGTGTCTAACTTCCACATTTGTGAACCCTATAAAATGTGTATATAGACAGCGCCAAAATGCCAAAAATGTAAATCAAGGTTACTAAATAGTTTGCCGCACATAAAAGTGCCAAAAATAAACACCAGAAAATTCAACTAATGTCCAGTGTATCAGTAAGTCCCATTCAAAGAGTTGCTTGAAACTCCGAAGATAGGTGAACAGGTGCTGGTGCCATTAATAACAGATAAACAGGTGACCACTTTCAGATGCTCCAGGTGACCCCACATGGATTTACACTCACTACAACGATGGACCTTCTATTACTAGACAGGTCTCATTGTACTTTTGTTTGGACCCACTGTGTGTCTTGCCACCAACTTGACCATTCACATGTACCAGGATGTGATTCCTTCCAATGCAACACACCGCCAATCGAAAAACAGTATCAGGGAAACGTTCATTGCGCAAAGCAGCCAACTTTATTAAACCATATAAAGCCTTTCAATTAGAGCGCACTCACGTGTGGCTAAGGACTGGCACCAGGTACATACAGCGCTTATGGCTAAGAGACCAGAAGCTGGCTTGCGCTCCAGGGCTGGGATGTGACGTATCGGCCGGGGAGCACTGCCTCAACTAGTTTCGTCTAGTTTAGTAACCTTGATTTACATTTTTGGCAGCTCAGTCTGTATACACATTTATAGAGACCACTATTTTATTCTCTAAGGCAGTCTTTTTCAAACAGGGCTCCTTGAGGTTTATTCAAAGGTGCCTTGACAAAATGTCTAAAAGATGCCCAAAACTTGTATACAAGCCAGCGGGTGGAACATACCTGACTTTTAGTTGCACAAAGCCACAGCTTTTCATCCTGGATGTCCAGTGCGCCCCTCTACCATTAAGTAGGAGTGGGCTCCTTCAGGCTCCCCTGCCCTCAGTCTATCCATTTACACATGTGCTCCTACTATGGAGGCTCTCAAAATTGATAGGAAATGCAGATTATTGGGCCGTGAATGGGCTCTGCAGCTTACGCATGTATTTGCAAATGTGTACTAACTAAACCCCTGTTTTAAATCAAACTGTAGGATCATTTGGTTGGTTGCAGGCTGGTTGGTAAATTGAGCTGGGAATTCATCTTTTTTATCGTTTGACATGCATTGCCCTTCTATGTGCTTCTTGATGTGAACGCTGGTTGTAGATTAGGGCAGTGGCCATTTTTGTACTGTTGAAACTGTTTAGCCAGTTCCGCGTCACCCTGTAGCAGAAATACTGCTACAGGGGGGCATGGGTGCACAAAATCACCTGTGTGTGTGTGTGTGTGTGTGTGTGTGTGTGTGTATGTATATATATATATATATATATATATATATATATATATATATATATATATATTTTTGCAGGTCCAGGCAGGGGTTGTTCGCGAGCCCTATCCGCGCCGCCATTCACGGCCTCGGCTGTCAATCACTGGGCCCAGGCTGGTGATCGCTGAGTATCTCAGATGGGGGAGAAACTTGTATGTAAACAATACAGTTCTCTGCCCTGTCAGCTCCTGCACGCTGCTTTGTATGGCTCTGCATAGCAGAGCCATACAAAGCAGTGTGCTTTCAATGAAGCACACACACAGCCCCCACAGTGAAACAGCACATAGTTAACTCTTTGATTGTCCCAGATGTTAACCCCTTCATGCCCAGTGCCATTAGTACAGTGTCATTGCTTTTTTTTTTTTTTTTTTTTTTTTTTACACCACTGATTATTGATGTTACTCTGGATGTCAGTGACACCAAGTCAGTTCCCCCCCCCCCCCCCCCCCCCGTGTCAGATTGCCCGCTATGGTCACTATTTTATTCTTTAGGGCAGCCTTTTTCAACCTGGGTGCCCTGAGGTTTCTTCAGGAGTGCCTTGGCAAAATGTCTAAAAGTTGCCCAAAACTTGTATACAAGCCAGCGGGTGGAAGAAGCCTTTTAGTTACACAAAGCCACAGGTTTTCATTGTCCATCATTATGACCTTCTAGCCGCCGGTGTCCTGACAACCAATGAAATCAGTTGATAAGGAAGATGTCGGTTGCCTGCACAGCATCCTTGTTTGACCGCCACTGCCTCTGTCAGTGCTGAGGTCACATTAGCTCAGTGAAGGAGAAAAACTGAGAGAAACGCTGTAATACTAGTCAGGACCAGTGTGCAAAAGTGTATTTGATTTGGAAGAATACATCACCTCTATCGTTGGATGTCCTACATGTGTGGGTGTTGATGCGTTATATAAAACTATTAGAATAGTTTTTTACATTTTAGAATGGGGTGCCTTGGAACTGTTCATAATTTTAGATGATGTCTCGACTGAAAAAAAGTTGAGAAACACTGCTGTAGGGTGTCTTCTTTCAGAAATAATCTATAATGTTTGGGGGTTTGTGTAATCTTCAGGCCTAAAATTATTTTTTAAAAGCATGCAAAAAACGACTCTGGCAGAGAAAGGTTTAATGCTAAACTTCAGTATGCAGCAATCTATACTATATACAGTATCTCCCAGAAGTGAGTCCATCCCTCACATTTTTGTAAATATTTTATTCTATCTTTTCATGTGACAACACTGAAGAAATGACACTTTGCTACAATGTGACGTAGTGAGTGTACAGTTTGTATAACATGTATATTTGCTGTCTCCTCAAAATAACTCAACACACCGCCATTAATGTCTAAACCGCTGGCAACAAAAGTGAGTACACCCCTAAGTGACAATGTCCAAATTGGGCCCGATTAGCCATTTTCCCTCCCCGGTGTCATGTGACTCGTTAGTGTTACAAGGTGTCAGGTGTGAATGGGGAGCAGGTGTGTTAAATTTGGTGTTATTGCTCTCACTCTCTCATACTGGTCACTGGAAGTTCAACATGGCACCTCATGGCAGAGAACTGACTGAGGATCTGAAAAAAAGAATTGTTAATCTACATAAAGATGGCCTGAGCTACAAGAAGATTGCCAAGACCCTGAAACTGAGCTGCAGCATGGTGGCCAAGACCAAAGCAGTTGAGTGCACGAGCTCAGCATCATATCCAGAGGTTGTCTTTGGGAATTAGATGTATGAGTGCTGCCAGCATTGCTGCAGAGGTTGAAGGGGTGGGGGGGTCAGCCTGTCAGTGCTCAGACCATATGCCGCACACTGTATCAAATTGGTCTGCATGGCTGTCGTCCCAGAAGGGATCCACTTCTAAAGATAATGCACAAGAAAGCCAGCAAACAGTTTGCTGAAGACAAGCAGACTAAGGACATGGATTACTGGAACCATCTCCTGTGGTCTGATGACACCAAGATCAACTGATTTGGTTCAGATGGTGTCAAGCGTGTGTGGCGGCAACCAGGAGAGGAGTACAAAGACAAGTGTGTCTTGCCTACAGTCAAGCATGGTGGTGGGAGTGTCATGATCTGGGGCTACATGAGTGCTGCCGGCACTGGGGAGCTACAGTTCATTGAGGGAACCATGAATGCCAACATGTACTGTGATATACTGAAGCAGAGCATGATCTCCTCCCTTCGGAGACTGGGATGCAGGGCAGTATTCCAACATAATGACCCCAAACACACCTCCAAGACGACCACTGCCTTTGCTAAAGAAGCTGAGGGTAAAGGTGATGGACTGGCCAAGCATGTCTCCAGACCTAAACCCTATGGAGCATCTGTGGGACATCCTCAAACGGAAGGTGGAGGAGCGCAAGGTCTCTAACATCCACCAGCTCTGTGATGTCGTCATGGAGGAGTGGAAGAGGACTCCAGGACTCCAGTGGCAGCCTGTGAAGCTCTGGTGAACTCCATGCCCAAGAGGGTTAAGCCAGTGCTGGAAAATAATGGTGGCCACACAAAATATTGACACTTTGGGCCCAATTTGGACATTTTCACTTAGGGGTGAACTCACTTTAGTTGCCAGTGGTTTAGACATTAATGGCGACGTGTTGAGTTATTTTGAGGGGACAACAAATTTACATGTTATACAAGATGTACATTCTCTACGTCACATTGTAGCAAAGTGTCAAAGGGGGTAAATCCTCTGGAGGGCAAGTGGTTAAGTAAGTTGCAGGAGGACACTTATTTGTTTATTACAGGTACTTTATATAGCACCATCAATTTATGCAGCACTTTACATATATATTGTACATTCACATCAGTCCCTAACCCTCAAGGGGCGTACAATCTAAGGTCCCTAACTCACATTCATACATACACATACTAGGGACAATTTAGACAGGATCCAATTAGCCTACCCACTTGTCTTTGGAGTGTGGGAGGAAACTGGAGTACTTGCAGAAAACCCACACAGGCACTGGGAGAACATGCAAGCTCCAGGCAGGTTGTGTCGTGGCTGGGACACTAGCAAGAAAAAGTTTGGTGTGTTTGTATTTTTCTAGATATGGAAGGTTGAAAAGTCAGAAGATGGAACAGCGCTTGTGGAATTCTTGTCTAGTCTTGTGCGGCACACCAAATCTGTCAACGTTGTTCGATTCTCTCCAAATGGTGAACTTTTGGCCTCAGGTGGAGACGGTAAGATTTCTATAAATTTCCATTTATCACGAATTGTTTTTCAAACGTTTTGAACAAACAAAGACTAGAAAAGGAGGAACAATCCTCAATTGAATGTATTTCGTTAAATGCAAGCAGTGTAAGTATCTGAATTGGACTTTTTTTTTATCAACCTCTTACAGTTCCTGTACAGCAGAGCTCAGACTGGGAGAGGGAAAATGGCGCATGGAGCCAGGCTGTTGCGCTGATGCGCAAAACGGATGCTGATAAAAGCAGAAAGGACAGAGGGAAGAGATCTTCAGTTTGCTGCTTCTCCTTTGCTGTCCAGTCAGACTGGGGGGCGGCAAAGGAGACCTGCAAGTGAAACTCTAGCAGAGAAAAATCAGGTCCCTTCTGGTGCTACACAAGGTTATTCTGGGTGGCAGAGCTATGTAAATCTCAGAATTGGATGAACAGAAATACAAATCCTTTGGCAGGTAGAACAGCAGTCATACATGTTTCATCCATGTATTTAGCTGTTTGCATGGAGTTCAGCGTTTACCTATGCTAAACAAAATGCTGCAGTTTGCATGCTCTGCACAACAAAACACTTCTTCTTACATTGAATAATATGGACCAGCACAGTTTTAAATGGAATTAGCGAGGGGGTCAGTTATTGTGAAAAAAATATGAATTTGTGTGACTTGCGAGCCAAATGCAATTATCTATAATGGATCGTCAACATAAAGTACATAACTTCAACTGTGTACATAAAATATTTCACCGTTATATGTTGCGCTCCTTAATAACAAAAAAAATGTGATTCCCCTTAAATTAAAAAACAATATATATAAATAACCAATTAAAAAAATTATTAAATCATCAAATCAATTTAATGTAATTAATAGTCCCATCACTAAAAATAAAAGTCCAATAATAGTGACTTGGTGATTATTGCTCTTCAATTTGTGACTTTTTGTGAATCCTCCAATTAGTGAAGATGTATGCTCACCTCCTTTGTTGCCTACAATTAGGCTATACACACTTGTGGTTCACCTTCCTTGGAACCTGCCAGAATTAGCTCTTTATGGGTAGATTGAAGGGTCCTTCCCTTTGGATTAATGCAGATATCCTCTATGGGTTAACTATCCCTGCAGGGATTCATCCCTCCTTCAGCTGTGATAAACCACCTATTTATCCTCTTTAGATGTTTCTCCGCATGTAAAAAGAAAGTGATGACATAGTACTTTATCCTTTAAAACATTTTTATTCCCATCATCCGGGTAATGCACTCACATTTAAAATTATCAAAAATTGCGCCTGGTTCACATAGCCACGTTCCTGCGGGCTGCGTTATGCATGGGCAAGAGAGCCCATTTATTTGAATGGACTCCCGTGCCCCGGGACACGCAAAGAAGTCCTTGCACTTCTGAAAACGCAGCCCGTGTGGGAATCTTGATTCCCAGTACGTTTGCGATTTCCAGTGCGGGCGGCGTGCCGTTTGAATTAATGGCACCCGCCCACGGGTCCGCATTCTTCCATGTGGGTGGATTTTTGTGCGGATCCGCCGGGGCACCACCCGCACATATGTGAACCTAGCCTCACAGAGAATTCCTCTCACTTCCTGTTTTGGCTTTGGGACAGGAAGTGAAGGGAAATCTCCGCAACGGCATACAGATGGCAAACAAAAAAATTGACAAGGGTTATAACCCTCTCTTACTCTATCCAGAATGGGGAAAAACATTTTGGCTGTAATTCTACTTTAAAATGGTTGAAAAGGCAGAAGGATTTTTTTTTTTTTTTAAAACCTTCATGTATTCATTGCATGAAGGTAAAAAAAAACTTTGTGTGCTTGTCTCCTCCCCCCCGAAGCCCTTCTTGATCCAGCAATGTGCTTGAGAGCCTCATCTGTCCCAGAAATCCCTCTCCTCACTGGCTGACAGTGTCTTTTGGATGCATAGAGTGGGGCTCGAGAGTGAGCATGCACCAGTGCCTCCATAGCAAGCAGCTTGCTATTGGGGGCAGTAGTCAAGGGGGAGGTGCCAAGAGCGCCGTAGGGGACCCAAGAAGAGGATCGAGGCTGCTCTGTGCAAAAAAGTATGTTGTGTTTTTTTTTTTTTTTCTTCTTAAGCCAAACCTTTATTACCACTTATTTTTTAATCTTTTGTTAAATGTTATACTTACCTGTGCTATGCAGTGATATTGCGCAGAGCAGTCCCTTGCATCTTCTTCCTGAGTCCGCCGTCAGCACTCTCCGCTCCTTCTTCTGAGTGCCTCCAGAGCAAGCCATGTGCTAAAGGGGCAGTCATGCAGGCACTTTCCTGAGTCAAGTTGTGTGAGTCCATAGGCACACACAGTGCCAGGAAGCCACATCCCCCGCTCCCTATTCACAGGAGTTTGACTGACAGCAGCAGCAGCCTATGTCTCCTATGAGACCAGGAAGTGGAGGAGCAGTCCTGCAGAAGGGACAGAGCTGGATCAGTGAGAGGAGCCAGGTCAGTGTTCAGAGACGGGGATCTAGGACAGGCAGTGGTGTATTTTTTAACTTATAATGCATTAAGATAAAAAATGTTTTGACTTGAGAACCGCTTGATATTTCTTTATAGGCTAGAAGCTCTGGCCATACACGTAGTAATTTGATAGCTGTTTCAGCCACTTTGCACCATCTTTCAATTGTAAACTGTCTGGTTATTTTCAAATGGCGAATTTGCTGTTGTTGCTTTATGCGTGTTTGGTCATTTTTGGTATCAAAAGCTGGTTGAAAATAATTGTAGTAGAAATGACTGGAAAGTTGCTGTGTGTATGACGCATTGTATTTACAGACATCATTGACTAGATCTACAGAACACCCAAAGCTTCCTCAATTGAGCTGTGTAGTTTTGTTGCAGAAATGTATGGTTGCATATTATACGGTTTAGTAGCATATAGTTGACCATGGAGATCAGTTGTTGTTGCCCATAGCAGCCAGTGACATGCTACTGTCCTCCCACTGCGCTGGAAGAAAAGAGAAATGGAATGATAATGTGAAACAAAAACTGTTTTTCGTTAAAGACTTTTATCTTTTTGGGGTCTCAATCTCAAGGGGTACCTGGTGATTTAAATATGTCTACAGGAAACTCAAATGATCTTTCTGCACTGTAGATGCTGTGATATTGTTATGGAAACTAAATGAAAGCAAAGAGGCAAGCATGGAAATAACCCCATTCAATGAAGATGATGAAACAGAAATAAGCAAGGAGAACTGGACTGTGTACAAACACTTGAGGTATCTGCTCCAATGTCTTTAGCGTCCATTGATCCTTCTAAATGAAGTCTCCCTGCGTGTTAACACTGAAGGAAAGCAGAGGATAGTGGTGTTGGGTAATGATATAGGCACCGATCAGTCATGATAAATTCATGTCTCTCTTAATCCAGTCAGTCTCTCTGGATCAACACAGTTTGCATTTCACGGTAGTTTTTGATTGCATAAACCCAGGTTTAGCAATTTCTAGGTACCAGAAATTTGAGGAATTTTGGTGCTCAGGCCAAATCTTTGAATGACAGCTTTGTTACTCATGGAATTGTGGATCCATGATGGACACTTGAAAGCGGAACGTCACCCAAATTGGAAAGTTCTGCTGTGTTTCTCCTCCATCCCCACAGGCCCCCCCCCCCCCATCATATTTGGCAATTATTTTTTTTATTGGAGGGGGAGCAAATACCTTGTTTTGACAGTTACCCGCTTCCACTTTGATAGCCTACGATCAGAGTGGAAGTTCTTTCCCTCAGTCCTCTGGGACACTTCACAGGTTCCAGAAGACTGTGGGACCATTCACAAGGCCCAGTGCAGCTCATGCATGCGCAGTGGGCTGCTGATCCTGAAGCCACACGCAGTCACAGCTGGCTGCCCACAGTTAAGGTGACAGGGACCAAAGACTGGTGAAGAAATTAGGCCAGGTGAGGACGGCGCTGGATCCTGACACAGGTGAGTAGCTGTTTATTAAAAGTCAGCAGCTACAGTTTTTGTAGCTGCTGACTTTTAATTTTTAAAATGGTGACTGGAGAACCGCTTTTATTGCCATACAGACCGCTTCCTGGAAGTCAGTCTCCATTTGCATTCTGTACTTAAAAAAAGATGGAAATAAGAAAGGAGTGTAAATCTCTCATTTCTGTACTTCCAAACATTTCATCATGCAGTGTGCAGTTTAGCCTCCTGGACATTCTCCTGTGCATCTTTAACCCATTTCTTTTGGGGGAGATTGCTTTGTCTGGAAATGCACTGAGTGGATCCCTTAGAATGGTATATTAGGACGTTAGGAAGGATGGAAATAATACAAAGTTAGAATGATATCCTCTGGTCTCTACAAAATGATGTTCCCTTTTGAATTTCCTCATGTTGCTTAATCGTTTTGAGTTTTAATCTGCCTTTACCTTTTAACAGGGGTCATCTAGAAGATGTGTATGACATCTCCTGGACACAAGACAGCAACTTCATGGTCTCAGCGTCTGTGGACAATTCCGCCATCATGTGGGATGCTGTTAAAGGTGTGGTGGCTATCGATATTATTGGGTATTCTCAATACAAGTCTAAAAACTCTGTGGCTATTCTAGCGCTTGCCGCAATCTATCATAATTAAAACCCCCCAACTGGCTGAGCTAATTAGGGGAAGGTGGTTTGAAGAGATCAATCTTCCAAGACGCATATGGAATTTACTGACCAGAAGAGTTGGGGATCTGCTTTCTTCATCTTTACAGTGTTGCAGTTTTGAATTTGTAAAGCCATTGGTGGATGTATGTGGATTGTTTACTTCCACACACAGGGATTGATTTACTAAAACTGGAGAGTGCAAAATCTGGTGCAGCTCTGCATACGAAGCCAGTCAGCTTCCAGGTTTTATTGACAAACCTTAATTGAACAAGCTGATTGGCTACCATGCACAGCTGCACCAGATATTGCACTCTCCAGGTTTAGTAAATCAACCCCATTGGGTCCACTTTAAAGTAGCACTGTAGGCAAACAATTTTTTTTCACCATCCATGTTCCATTGATGAGATTTCCCTTCACTTCCTGTCTCTTAGCCAAACAGGAAGCGAGAGGAAATCCCTGCATATTAAGAGAATTCCTTGGGAACCCCCAGGTTACCAGAACTAGTATCCCCATTGCATTGGAAGACTTCCCTCTATTCCTTTTCCAGGGACAACCCAAATTAAGAATTTTCTTTCACTTGTAATAATAATGGTAAACAGGACAAATGGAGAGTATGAATCTCCCTAACAGGGGTTTTGCCTTTTGTCATACTTTAAAAACTTGCCCACCAGAGGATTTACCCCCCTTCCTGACCAGGCCATTTTTCCCCACAAATAGAACTGTTTTTCAGTGGTATTTGATCACCTGTGCGGTTTTTATTTTTTTTACGTTATAAACAAAAAAAAAGACCGACAATTTTGAAAAAAAAAATATTTTTGACTTTGGTATAAAACATATCCAGTAAAAAAAATTTAAAAGCGCAAATTTCTTCATAAACTTAGGCCGAAATGTATTCTGCTACATGTCTTTTGCTAATAAAAAAAAAAAAATCCCAATACCTGTAAATTAATTGGTTTATGTGAAAGTTATAGCATCTACAAATTGCGGTATATCTACTGGAATTTCTATTTATTTCTTTTATACTAGTAATGGCAGCGATCAGCGACTTACAGTATGGCTGCGGCGGGCATTCTGACACTAACTGCCACTGACATCCCAATGACACTAATACAGTGATCAGTGCTAATAAAAAGCACTGACACTGTACTAATGACACTGGGCAGGAAGGGGTTAACATCTGGGGCAATCAAAGCGTAACAGTGTGCTGTGTGTGTTTTACTAGGGAGGCATAATGTTTTGTATCTCTGCTGTGCACAGAAATACACAGCAGCATGTTCTTGCTAGCAGGAGAGAGACCTGTGAGACAGGGTCTCTCCCCTGTCTGTTCCACATGGCGATTTCCAGGTGCCGGTGGATTATCTCCGGCCAGGACCTGGTAATTTACATTCGTAGCTGCCAATGGTGGCATGGGTAGGGCAGCGCACACGTCCCCTACCCAGAAATGCAAATCACGTGTGTGTGTGTATGTGTGTGTATATATATATATATATATATATATATATATATATATATGTGATTTTGCGCTGAATTATGTAGCAGTATATATATATTATATATATATATATATATATATAATGTGATTTTGGGCGAATTGTAGCAGTAGTTCTACTATAGGGCGGTGGGAAAGCTGCTAACCTTTCCAAATCCATGCTGCATAACTTGCTCTCTCTGTCTGTGCTTGTTTAGAAATATTCAACAAATTATTTAATTATAGGAAAACGATACAATTAGGAACATACATACACATTTTCAATTAGTAAGATAACAAGATAGTTTGCAAAACCCTTATGTGAAAATACAAGGATCATCTGACTATAAGATAGGGTGTACCAATAAATAAATCCCATGTCATCTAATTTGGACCCATCATTGCCCAGGTAGACTGGTAACTGGTAAAAGTGGTTAAAGTAACAGGACTTTTCTATGGACCCATAGATATATAAAAGAAAATAAGGATAGCGCCCTAAATTGGGGTATACTATTTGCTTTCTTTTGTCATGAGATTCACTTTTCCAAAGTAGGATGAAATATAATTGAAGACTGTTTAAAAAAAAAAAAAAAAAAATTAGACCATTTTTTAAAATCTTTTGTCATTGGTTCTCCTTCATTACCAAAAGATCACCAAATTATAAACACACACACACACACACCCCAGGTAAAATAAGTATTGAACATGCCACTGTTTTTCTCAGTAAATATATTTCTAAGGGTGCTATTGACATTTTCACCATGTGTCGGTAACAACCCATGCAATCCATACATACAAAGGAACCAAAAATAATACGTTCAGAAATTAAGCTATATGTAATAAAATGGAATGACACAAGGAAAAAGTATTGTACACGCTAACTGGAGTTTATTTAATAGTTTGTACACAATCTTTTGTTGGTAATGACAGATTCAAGACGCCTCCTATATGGAGAAACTAGTGGCATGCATTGCTGATGTGGGATTTTGGCCCATTCTTCCACATAAACAGTCTTCAAATCTTGAGGGTTCCATGGGCCTCTTCTATGAACTCTGATCTTTACTTCTTTCCATAGATTTTCTATTGGATTTAAGTCAGGTGATTGGCTGGGCCATTCTAGCAGCTTTATTTTCTTTTTTGAAACAAATTGAGAGTTTCCTTGGCTTTGTGTTTGGATCATTGTCTTGCTGAAATGTCCGCCCTCGTTTTAGCGTCATCATCCTGGTAGATGGCAGCAGATTTTTATCAAGAATGTCTTGGTACATTTTTCCATTAATCCTTCCTTCAATAAAATTACATTTGCCAGTACAGTATGCTGAAAAACAGTTCCACACCATGGTGTTCCCACCTCCAAACTTCACTGTTGGTATGGTGTTTTTGGGGTGATGTGCAGTGCCATTTTTTTTTTATATCTTTATTAATTTTTTTTAATGCAAATCCCTATTAAACCAGTTACATACAGTATAAAAATCTATATTTAGTTTCTATCCCCCTCCCTGTATCTTCTTGGTCTTGCCCATTACTTGTTCTTTTGTAAATCTCTTCAACACTATTTCACCTCTTTCTTTATCCTCTATTTTCCTTTCGGTTTCAAATTCTTGTTTATTTTCCTTTTTTTTTTCTCTTATACTCCATTCGCTTCTAAAAATCTTTTTTTTTTTTTTTTTAAATTATTCCATCCCTCCCAGGTCTTCTTGAATTTTTCCATTTTATCCTCATCTATATGATACAATTCTTCCATTCTATATATATATTCCACCCTGTCCATCCAATCTTTTATTTTTGGGGGTTCTAATGTTTGCCAATAGGAATCAGGCCTTTGGCTGCATTTAAAAGATGGAACAAAATCGAGTTTTTATATTGCTTCACCGAAATCTCTGATTTATAAAATAGTCAAGCCCACGGGTCCATCGGTATACTAATCTTCTGGATCTCTGTATGTATTGCATTATCTCCCTCAAAAACTCTTGTATTAAAGGACAGTCCCACCAGATATGTGCCATTGTGCCCTTACTCCCACATCCCCTCTAGCACTGAGATGAAACTTCTGGCCTTAATTTATGCATAATATTGGGTGTAATATACCATCTTACTAGGTACATATAATTCATTTCGACTATATTCAGATTCACCGCCCCATGTGTTAAACTAAACTTTTAATTTTTTCCTTGTTCATTCAATTCTGTTCCAAGTTTGGGGATGTTAATCCCTCTATTTCAGTAAGTGTTCTATATATCCTTGAGATAGTATGTTTCTGTATTCCATTTATACTCCGCAATTGTTCAAATGGATACATTTCATCCTCATTCCTTAGTGTTTATGGAAGCTTTGCAACAAAGTGTCTTATTTGACAGTATCGCCACTCATCCAGTGTAGAAAATATTTATTTTTTACTCTTCAACTCATGTAACGAACATAATACTCCTCTATCCACAATATCTTTTAAACGTGCATATTTATCTAACATCCATTTCCCTGAAATATTGTCATTTCTGGACGGAAATAATCTGGTTCCCGCCAATGGGATTGACAGTGAATTAAATTTCCATTCCTTATGCTTGTGTATTTCATCCTAAATACATTCTGTGTCAAAGTGCTTGTATCCTCATCCAAAAGTGCGAAATTCCTGTGATATCCAAATAAACTTTTCTTTTGGTGCCTTACTAAGTGCGCCTTCCATTCTTACCCAACTTCTCCACTTTATAATGTGTATTCAATCCACAATTCGTGATAATAACTCTGAATTATAGTACCTCCTAAAATTTGGCATATTTAATCCCCCTTTTCCTTCATTGCAGCACAAAACTTCATACTTCACTCTTGTTTTTTTTTATTAGTCCACACATATCTAAGTATCATTTTTTAGGACCCTAAAGAAAGACCCAGGAAGGTATATTGGAATCATATTAAATTTATATTTCACTTTTTGTACCATGATCATGGTAACTATGTTTTATACGACCTATCCAAGACAGTTTTCCCGTAGACATTTTCCTCAGTTCATCTTTTATCTAATATATTAGTGGGATATAATATGCCTGATAGATATTTTTTTTTATATGCAAAGTTCATTTTATTCCCAAGTACTTTTATTTCTTTTTCTCTCCATTTAATTCTTTTTGCAGAATTTGTTTCTCAGCCTTTGGAAAATTTATATTTAACATCTTGCTTTTTGAGGGGTTCATTTTCAAGTCGGATAACTCCCCATATTCTTTCAATTTTTTCATTAGGTTTGGTAATGTTAATCTGGGACTTCCAACATAGAACAGCATATCATCTGCATACGCTGCCACTTTATGTTCAACATCCCCTATCCACATCCCCCTGACATCCACAGTTGCTAATAGTGGTTCCATGGATATAACAAACAGTGAAGGAGACAGGGGACATCCCTGTCTTTTGCCGTTGTACATCTTAAAATTTTTTGATAATGAACCATTTACCTTAACTGCAGCTAAGGGGTCTCTATATAACTCTTTAATCCACTGTATCATTTTAGGTCCGATTCCTAGTGTTGTCAACGTATCAAACATAAATCCCCAGTCAACTCTATCAAAAGCTTTTTCAGGAATAAACAAAAATAAACAAGCTTGATATAGGTTAGGCAGAAAGGTGATAAGGAGCTGCTAGCATATAAAGGCATACCTCAGCACCTCAGTAACAAAATAGAGATCTTGGATATGCAGCGCTAGAATTAGGATTACAGTAATGTCATAAAAGGCAAGAATTGATACACGTTCATATAGTGTTCATATACGATAAGTATGAGTCCCAAATAAGATGGTATTCCAATCGCTGTTGAGGCCAAAAGGTGCAATTTAATCCTAGGTGTTCTGTGAAGTAATAGTACAATAATGCACTTACCAGAAGTACATACAAACTGAGTGTTGT